TTAAGTATGTTAATTTTAGAAGAAGCCAAGAGCTAGAGAGAGCTTTCCAACTCGTGCAAAGTCCAGTTAGAATATGGATTATTTATGAATTCTAATGAACATGCAGAATGTGATTTACACAATAGAATGACATTTGGGGGTATTTGAAAGAGCTGGTATTTTCTAGATAAAAGGAATCTATCCCCACATGATGCAATTCAAGTCTTTTTTCCTTCTTTTCTAATTTTTAGTTTATAACACAGGTAATAACCTGGGCCAATTTCTTCGGAGTATTAAAAGAGCTATCAAGTATTTAATCAGAGTTATGTAGTAACTTGCATTAACAGAGGTGAGAAGACCTGATAGGAGACCTAGGCACTTACAGACAATTTGATTAAAGTACATGGAGAACGTATTTTAAAAAACCAACCAAACAAAAAAACCCAGCCCTATGAAATTACTGAAAATGTTCTTTCTTAAAATACAGACTTTCCCTCTTCCATGGTTGCACAACCATAAACTAGTACTGATGATACCTCCATGTTCAGATGAAAACGTCCATGATGAGAGCAAGCATTTGAGGGGTGGTGCCGGTGACCAGTGGGGAGAGGTGAAAAGCCAGGAGGGATTGCTAGCAGTGCTCGTGGCAAAGCTAACTGTGCTGGGGAACCAGTTCCCAAACGAAGATCACAAGATTAGGATTCACCCCTAGAGTTTCTTTTTTTCAAGCAATGCTCAGTTGGGTAATTCAGTTAAGTACTGGAAAAGTAAAACATAAGCAACCTGCAAAGAATATAGTCAAGAACCACTGTAGCCCGAGAAACGCAGTTTGAGTCAAGCAGCAGGTTACTGCTACACTCTTCCATCAAAAACCACTTATGAGAGCAGGACTTGGTTTCTGAATGTAATTCACATACTCGGTTATATGTTCCTTTGGTCTAACAATTATTCCCTGTACGGCTGTGATAAGCTTTTATACTGACATGCACATCCTGCAGAGGAAGGGAGAAGTGTCCTTTACCTTCTCATTAGGAAAAAAGCAGTTCCTCTGAGTTCTGACTCAGGAGGCAATTCTGCTTGGCCAATAACCTTTTAATTAAAGTGCACTTCCTGGAGGTATTTATACTTTGTCCTTGGAATAATATACTCAGGATAAACTGATTGTAAAGACAGCATTCAACTTCTGTCACTGACATGATAAGGGAAAAGACAGTGAAGATCAGCCGGATATATCTGCAGTGGGACAGCAGAAGGAGGAATAGAAAGTAAGCCGTGGAAGTATGCGTGCCCCTGCGTACGTGCACATTTGGGGTTTAGACAAGTATAACAGATGGATCCAGTCTGGAGTAATTTGGCACATTTCTAAGGCAAGAAACTTCATATAAGTAGTATTTTTGTGATTGCTTTTCCTCCTCCCTTCCTCAGGATAGCTCACCTCTGAGTATAAAAGTATTTACTCTAGTATGTGATTTGGGCTATCATCTACCTAAAAGAATGGATGAGAACCTCTTACCACTTCTTGCACAGATAAGGTATTGGTGTCTGTTTCTCTTAGCCAGCACTACAGATGAAACCCAGGAACTGGCTAAGGGGTAAATTTTGCCTTCTCAGGGAATGTTCTCAATAGGCAGTAATGAATCTTTCCCCTTGGCCCATTTCCCCAATATCAATCATGTGCTGGACCAGTGCAGTTCAATCTTGATCAGAGATGGACCAGAAGCTTTAATGCCAATTATTAATCAGAAAGCTTCAGCAGCTCATTAGTTCAGTGCATAACACCTCATTAGGACAAATCTAGTTGAGTTTGTGGAGCTTATCTTCTACCCCTTCCATTCAGAAACTGTCCTTTAATATTAATACACATTAATTAATATTCATTAATCTATTAAACTATTAATATTCATTAATCCACACTTCATAACTGCATTTCATTTTTTGCTACAGTGGTACTCAGCTGCTACTCAAACTTTATCCTCAGATTCCAGAGGATCAGTGCTGAAAAGTTCTTTTTACACAAATCCATGTTTTCTCCTCATTGTGTTTCAGAGGAGTTACAAGAGCCAGCTGAGACTGTCTATTCCCACTCTCTTGTAGGGGGTCTATTCTTACCATGTTCAAACTAGTCAAACATATTGCTTAGATCTAGAGGACAAAAACTTGTTTCTCCAAGCTCTGCAGCTCATGCCACCTCTTACACCTTCCAACCTCATCTCGTTTTCAAAAAGACTGAATTTAAATAACAAGGTGCAGAAAGTTTTACGTGCAGGAAGAAGTAGGAGAACGTAGTAGAATACAGACATGTGCAGTTTCATGCTGTAATCTGTGGAAGATGTTTTTGACCGAGCATGTAACAAGGAAAGGAACCTTCCCTCGGTCCTTGGGCAACAAGGCAGCGCAGAACTTTCGGGTCGTCCCACTGGTGACATGCTGTGTAGCAGGCCAACAGTTTTATCTTCGGTTGGGTTTTTAGGGTAGGTGGTCAGGATGATTCAGCAGTTTGATTTCCACCATCATCGTTTGTGGGCAGCCTCAAATTAGCAGGATTTGACTCTGTGAAACTCAGCTCTGCAGTTCAGTCTGATTTTTGGTGTTTCTGACAGCCATACCAAATTCCTATTGATTTGAACGTGCTGTCACTTGGCATTTAGCCACGGGCAGCACAATCCAACCTTTCTGATGCTTCAGGATGACCATATAGCTCTCTCTTCTGGGCCTAGGATGGACCGAAATCCTCCCACTCCATTGCCGCAGCAGTTCCTCCCACACTGCTGGGGCAGTGGGGTGGAGAACGTGCCTCGCCCATTGTTACCGCAGCGGGAGGAGAGCAGCCACAGCAGGCTCCCGTGGCTCCCCGAGCCCCCGGCTCCTGGAGACCCCCGGCTCCTGGAGCCGCAGCCCTGGCAACGGGGCAGCGCTCCCTTTGTTCCCCTGTCCGGCCGGCTTCGCCCTGCGGCCGCCAGCTGGAAAGCTCAGCTGGAGAGAATACCATCTCCATTATTGGAACTGTGCGGCTCTACCAGCCCTCTTGGCAACGAGGGAACATTTTCTGCCTTAATCTACACAGAGGTCAAATAGTTTCCTCTTGCAGCTCTCTTCCAAGAATCCCCTGGGAGAGAGCGAAGGGCCACATCCTACAGAGTTCCCTCGCAGAGACTCGACGGCGGTGAACACTGCGCGGGGGCCAGCGGCCACGCACAGAGCCAAGCTGTGAGGGTCTCCCTCCCGTTCACCCACACCACCACGCACATCGCGTGCTTGTGGATGACCTGGGTGAATTTTCCTGTTGAGATTTTCTAGGCAACGCTCTAGAATAGAGCACTTTTAGAGGAAAGCTGTTCTTTTTTTCAGATGAGAGAATTGTTGAGGCAGTTTAAAGAGCTGGGGCATCTAATTTCCACTGAATTTCAGTGGGATATCGTCTAACCCTTTTAGGCGCCTCTAAAATCCTAGTTTTGTTTTTGAGCTTTCTGTCACCTTCTGCATGATCCATGCTTCTCTCTCAGACCCCTCACACCGTCTGGCCTTGCAAAAAAACCATTAATCTGTGGGAAGGCTTCAGGGACAAATATTTGGAAACCAATCTCTGATACTCCCAGAGCACAGGGTGTCCATTTGGCTACATACCACAGAGCTTGGTCTTTACAAATATCGTTCTGCTTATGGGTTGATTGCTGACAACTTTAGCAGTCAGTTCTCCAAACTCCTTCAAGATTCATGTTTGTTTGAATGCTGTAAATATTAAATTCATTCTCAATAAGGAAATGAAACAGCCTCTGTCTCCTGGAGATGTTTTTCTTGGGCACACACTCTTCTCTGCTCCCCACTGTAGCTCCTCCCCAGCTCCCCTCTCTGCTCCGCTGCATGGAAGGTTTCCTGATTAGCACCGCTCTAGTCCTCTGTTTACTCCTTTCCTCATTTAGAGCTGTGTGTCCCATAGGACAGAGCAGAACACTTAAAAAAGCTCCAGCATTATCAGCAAAGCTCTTGCAGCTACATCCTAACCCCCAATGGCCAGAGCAGGGAAGAAGCTGCCTCCTCCCTCCCAGACATGGTGCAAAGCAGCCAAACCCCTCCCGTCGCTCTCACCTACGGAGCGGATACATCTGGCTGCTTCATCCAAGTGTGACTGCACGATGCTGGTTTATCCATATGCAGCTGCATTACACAGATGCATCATCCTTCCCATTTGAGCATCATGGCTCAGAGTATCAATAGCTGATGTAATTTCCAGGCTTGTTTTATTTCTTCTCTCTCTCATGTGGTAGACACTTACCCTTCATAAATGATCAGTTCCCCCTGTCTGAACCGTGGAAAGGGGATAACTCTAAATTACTTCTCCTTCACCAGCAGTACTGATAACAATTTTTTTTTTTTCTGTTTTTTCTTTTGACCTTTTTTTGATCTTATACTTCTTCAAATGAAATGGTATTAGAGTGATTGGAAATAGTTCTTTGCAAGAAAAGTTCGTTTCTGTCCTTTCTGGAACACAGCCTGGGAACTGTTCTTCTACTAATTATTTCATTATTGCACTGGTATTTCAGTATGCACCCAACAGTATTTGGGTGATGAGAAATTTTTTATGTATCTGAATTCAATTAACTTTATGATGGGCAGGAGATGAGGCCGCAGGAAGCTGGTAGTCTTGGTGCAGTCCTGAGAGTCTCATTGCACAGACATTAGTTATCCCTTACTTTTCTCCCTGATCTTCAGTACAACATAAACAAAATAAAGGGATACGCCCAGGTGTCCTCATTTGTTTTAGTGCCAGGAAGCTTTTGGTTTAGGTGATTTCATACCTACAGTGACAAAGGAAGGGGAATCCGAACACAGATACTCTAAGATATCTAAGCTGGCACCCAAAAGTATCTGCGTGGAAATGTGAGCTATGACACAGGATCTGTAGTGCTTTGGATCTACCGCATGGCAGATTTGTCAAATGTGTTTAGCCTGGAACATCTCCACATTTGCCTCCCTTTAAAGCAGAATATTTCGCTTCCTCAACAGGTGTCTACTGAGTCAAAATGGCTCAAAAATCTCTCAGCGATGATGAGAAATTCCTCTTTGTGGACAAAAACTTCATTAACAACCCACTTGCCCAGGCCGACTGGTCAGCGAAGAGACTGGTTTGGATTCCATCAGAGAAACATGGATTTGAAGCAGCAAGTATCAAGGAAGAGAAAGGGGATGAGGTGACAGTTGAACTGGCAGAAAATGGAAAGAAAGTGACACTGAGCAAGGATGACATCCAGAAGATGAACCCTCCAAAGTTCTCCAAAGTGGAGGACATGGCAGAGCTGACTTGCCTCAATGAAGCTTCAGTGCTGCACAATCTAAGGGAGAGATACTTCTCAGGCTTAATTTATGTAAGTAGAACCAACCACGCACATGGCATTTCCTGTTGCATGCTACCATGTCCCATCATGAGCAAGGTGGATCCCACCTTGGATCACCTTGGATGTCAGGGATACAGTCCTCGCATGTAACACTGCCATGCAAGTACGCACCCCTCAGCAGTGGCATCCCGAACCAAAAATGTGTTTAGTTCACTTTATTCCCCATGACTCTCCTGCTTCTTTAATAATTGCTTCTTTACTCAATTAAAAGACATGAAGGTTACTTCCCCAAAGCTTGCTAATTCTGAAAGGATATTGTTGGCTTGGAAAGTACTCTCCGATAGCTGAGCAACACCTCAGTCCTGCTGCTTTGAAATAAATCAATAGGACTTTTGAATTACTTCAATGTAAACCTGAACAAGTTTCCAGTAACTTGCAGAAAGAACATACGGAAAAGCCAAATCATGCAGTCTTTTCTCAGGCAAAACTCCCACTGAAAGGCAGCTGACGAGTTCTGATTTGGTGGGTGCTTGAGTAAAACCTTATGTTTGAATAAATGAATAAACTCACTGGAATTAAAGTGAGAGTACTCATATGCTCCAGTGTGTTACTGAACCAAAGTCATGCATCCACTAAAACATTTTTTTTTTTTAGCTTGTTGGTCAACTTACAGATCAGACAAATTATAATCTTCTCTATGTTCATGTGAATTAGGGCCAAGATTATTCTGTCTTCCAGTCCACACAAGTATATTAATATAAGCGTATTTTGACGTTAATAACCCTGTAATCTATCTGCATGAACAGTGAGCAAACTGCAGTTAGAAAGCCCAGAAAGTTTCCATGGAACGTAGCCGTTATCTTTGATTTTACATAGAGGATCCCTATGCTGTGCTGCAGAAAAAAGTAATCTACAGTCTCAATCTACGAAAATTTTACTTGCATGACAGACCACGGATGAGTGGAAGAAAGTGCAGAGCTTAAGTTACAAGGTTTTAGAAGCAGGAGTAGAGCTCTCATTATTAATATGAAGAATGCTAAATTGGAAAGTAGGAAATGAAGCAGAAAATAAGATAGTTACATAGTACAACAAAGGAACTATTTAATTGTTATGCATAACTTAAAAGAGCTAAGCTCAAGATCTTTCCTTCAGGAATGTATTAAAATGCACATCATCAAGATTCCTGAAAGAAGCTAGACTTTCCATCTTTTCAGTATTTGAGTTTATTGGATTTTAAGTTTGCAGGTGAACATATGGACCTATGTGCTATTATATCAGAACATGCAGCATTAATTACTAAAATGGAATTTGTCTGAAAATGTTCTGCGTTGTTGCAAGATCTGAAAAGAATTACTAGAATAGTGGGATAAAATGTGTGGGGTTTATTTCTGTGTTGTTGATGTCGGCAATACTCACATAGATGTTCCAGGATTCCCAATATGTTTACTTTGTGCAACTTTCACTTTCTACACGAAGAGGAAATTAATTTCAAAAAGTGGATAATGCAATTAGAAATCAAAGAATTTTTCATGGAGACATAAATGGAAGTGTATCTGAAGTTAAGTTTTCTTTCTCAAGAGACTAGATTTTAAGGTGGTAAATTAACAGTTACAAAGAAATTATTTTGACTTGTATTACAAGAAGTTATTAGTATTTTCAGTAATCAAAAACTGCTTAAAACTGTCCAGCCTTACACAGTGCTGGCCCACTAGATACTGTAATACCTCTTAAAAAAAAAAAAAAAAAATTAGGGGACATCTAAACAGAATTTGAGGTTTTGTTCTCATCCACTTGCAAAACTAACTGTAAACAACAATCTCCTGGCTTTGCCACGCAATGCCTACATTGCCTCCCTTGGAGTGCCACATATACAAAGAAAACGTGACCTTAACATTTTCCTCTTTAGAGCATCACTGACATAAATGGGGATTCCCAATTCCACTAAAGAAATAAATAATATGCCCCTTTGCCCCTTGCATTTATACTAGATATTTTTAAATAAAAAGATTCAGTGCAGAAATTCACAGAGTGACTGTGAAAAAACACCTTGGCCTTTTTCTTCATCACAGATAATTAAGAAAGAAGGGCAAGAAGTGCGTTGCCACTAACTCATGTTTCACATTGCTCAGAACAAACAGAATATGCCTTGTCCAGACACAAATTTGACCAAAAATGATTATATAAACATCAATAAAATAGCAACCCAAGTTCAGTGGATTTGAGCGTAGAGTTTCTTGTGCCTGTACTCATAGGCACTACTAATTCCGTCTTCGCCTAACAGTGCAAAATGCTTTCTTAAATACAGAAAATTATATATGCATATTAGAATCAGAAGTGGGATTCTTCTGCCCAAACTTAGGAATTTACAACATAGATGTGTGTATTTGTGCCAGTCTCTCTTAAATACCTATCAGCAGTGACTGTCCAAGGGACACACAAGCTCCGCACTCCTATGGACACTATCCCTAAGATACCTCAAACCATGTTCTGTCTCCAGACCCTCTAGGGAGGGATACGGCCGGGGGTAGACTGTGCCCCAAGGAGAATGATTTAAAGCATGGAAACTTCAAACCCCCCACTTTCAATCACATGCTTGGCCAACTGACTCGCTTATCTTCAAAACATCACATACATTACTCAGTTTTCCCCAAATCCTTGCAAAGCAGATACCTAGAACTACGATTGGTGAAACCAAGAGGTCTTGGTCAACTTTCCCGAGGTGAGAGAAGGCATCAGTCACAGTCCAGTTAGAAATGGGGATTCCTGAACTTCCTCAGCTCAGGCTTTTGCCCTGCCTTAGTAACCTGCTTCTTCTGCCTCAGGGTTAGTTCTTCAAAGGTATGTTACCGTATGCCTGAGTGTGCAAACAGCCCTGCATGTGGCAAGTCAGGCAAATGACTATAAATCTCAGGGAAGGGAGGCCTAAATAATTTCCTGAATTGGAAATTTACTCTCCTATTATTTTATTTAGTTGGTTGGGAATGATTAGTTGAGTGCATACAGTAAATCTATTTCTACTGAAAATGAAGGCCTTGCTATCCTTTCCTTAACAGCCCTGGTAGTCATTCTAGGACAAAACACTACTGCTTTCCAAGTGTATTGTCCCTGCAGCACTAAAGTTCATTTTAGAATCACAGAATCATTTAGGTTGGAAAAGACCTTTAAGATCATCAGGTTGAACCGTAAAATGAATATGAATAGAGCGCAACATACGTTTTGACACAAATAGCACAGTTTCATTCTGAACTGTTTCATTCCGGCGTCAATGAAAATCCAGCACAGTAATTATCTACTTTCCACATCAAAGGTTTTAGCTTGAGGATATTGAGAACTGGCAAAGAACTTGAGCTTGATTTTCTTGTTATCTGACTCGAGACTGTGGAAATGCAGTCACAACCTGTAATGGTAGGAGAGGTCCTCATCACCACCCAGAGCACCCCAGACGTTCTCCTGCCCAGCATGGAGCACCCAACCTGCTCCTCGCTGCTGGATGCTGATGGATGCTCTCACCGTGTTTGCTGAATACCATATAAAGCGCTCAGGCTGTGCCGAGACCGTGTTGTGCCATTTCCTATTATGGTCAGGAAAGGGAAATCCCTGTGCCCAGAGCCAAGGCTCCCAGATGCCATTTTACAGCCCTGGGCTGGGGGAACCGAGGCAGCTTGAGCCATCCTCGGGCACAGCCCTGAGAATAAGGCACGGCAGCAGCTGCACGCCACAAAGCAGTCATTCACACAGCACGGCAATAAAAAAAAGATACAGCCAAACCCACTTATGCCTAAGTTAGAAAGAGCGTAACTTCATTATTTCAGTTTTTTTAAACTGGCATGGTTTTAAAACTAACAGCCGTAGGCCAGCTTAAATATCCCAATACCCCTGCAATTATAATCCCATAGGTTTGTAACTATTTATTTTAGGGTTTCAGATTTTTTTTTTTTAATGGAAACCCTACAAACTGCTTACTTTTAGTAACTGTTTGTAATATGTGGCTCACCATCTATTATCATATGCTATTATTTCTGCTCCCAGTTCAATAGCTGGAGCTTTCCAAATTAAAAAAAATGAACAAAACCTGGATGAACAGCAATCAGCTGGTAGCCAATGTTCTTGGTTTTTTATGTACATATTTTTATATGAATACCTTAATTAAACTGTAAACAGAAACCACATTTTTCCTTAAATTTCTTACAGAAATAGTCATATAGTGAAGGCATGACTATTCTGTTAAGACATCTATTTGGAACTTGAGAAATCTTTTTTTCAAGGAATCTCATCAATCATTATTGTTATATGGTGTTCATATAATCTTTTTTACAAAGCCGCCTTCAAACATCAATCCAAGCTTCTTACCTAGGATTTCAGTTTAAAAAATTTGACACCTACCTGAGCAGAGGACATACTCTGGTATGAAAAGACACATAAAAAGAAATATTATGAAGCATTACAGTTGTTACATCACCATAGATAAGAGTGATTCACGCTGTTCTGAAAATAACTGAAGTCAAGAAGCTCTAACATCAGATCAAAGCATAGTGTTTCTATAGATTGCTAAATTCACATACTTTCTAGCAGTTTGTTTATTAGAAATAATTGTTTGTGCACTTGGAAACCACCCATACACGTACATTCAGAAATCGCTGCTTCATTTGTCACACTAGGCAGAATACAAAAGAGTGTTATTTGCTAAAACCCTGTTAGCTCAATGCAGCTGATGACTGTGTTTCCCAGACTAGACATGGCACACAATATTAATTCCGGTTTTTATTTGAATTTCCTTGCAGACTTATTCAGGTCTCTTCTGCGTGGTGATAAATCCATACAAACAGCTGCCCATTTATTCAGAGAAGATTATCGACATGTACAAGGGAAAGAAGAGGCACGAGATGCCACCCCACATCTATGCTATTGCGGACACAGCCTACAGGAGCATGCTGCAAGGTAGGCGAGTTTAATGCTGCAGTTCTTAGAAATCGCTGCACAATAACACGGGAGAAAACACCTTTAACTCCACATGTGCTCCTGCAAGAAGCACAGCCAGAAAAGATCTGTTACGGAGGGCGACACAGGCTTTCTAGAAGTTTCAGAGGAATTCTTTGGCAGGAACGGCAGTCCACAAACACTGTGACTCAAAAAGGAAAAACAATCCTTTTACCCATCTGTGTCGAGGCGTGTGGGAAGGTTTCAAAGTCAAGCAAATAGTTTTGGCAAATACGGGCATGGAAAATGCTCCCTCTCCACCAGTGGAGTAACTCTCCAAAGTTAGCTGCTAGCGCTGCTGGATCTGTCGGCGTTGCTCCTCTCTCTCTGTCTCCTAGCAAAGCAAATTCAAATAATGTTTTGGGGCTACAGTCTAATGCTAAGTTGAGATATGCTGTTTTCCAACAATAACGGCAACGAGCAGCAATGGGAAAGCAGTCAGGCCCCAAATGGTGCAAACAAAACCTTCGAAATTCACAGTGCTCTCCTCCTCCTGCAGTCACTATTGACGGACTAAGGGATTTTTGCTCTAGGGAAAAATCACAAATTTAGGGATGAAAAAGCTATAGCGATGAAGGTATGAGGCTGCAACACCTGCAGACTACAGGGACATGACCAGTTGCCATCTTGCAGAGACCTCGGGGGCTCCAGGAAACAAAGACTCTGCAAAATGCTTTGAAATTTAAATGCCCTCGTTAGGGGCCTGATCCTGCAGAAATTCTCGCCAGTAACTATGGTGCAGCAAGGTTTGCAGGCTCGGCCCTAATGCTTCAGGCTTCCCGGTTTGGAGCTTAAGGATTTAAGGGTTTAGGGCTTGTAGGTTTTAGGTCTGGCTGGGGAAAACAATAAACAGCATCTAGAAATTTCAGTTTAGCAGCTAGAGTAGTACCCGGTGTTGATTTCTTTGTAATAAATACACACATACATAGAACAGTGATTGTTACTGAGAAATTAATCCATTCAAAACCACCTTGCACTTCATCTGACTACACAAGTCACAGCATTTCTCCAGGTGCACAGCACGTTGTAATCACAAGGATTGCAGTACTCCTGTACTTGTCCTACTTGAAATATGACCCTGATGAGTTTACTAGAAGTTACAAGTAGTCAGTTTGGCATATCATAGTTAATTGCTATTTCCTAAACCAAGACTTGGACTAGACGCAGTCCTTCCCCACAATGAAAAAAAGATCATCTTACATGTGACAGGCTTGCAGGCCGTCTAAATTGCCTGACCCCAGGCAGACTTCTACTGACTGCAAATACCAACCAAATCCCTGTCATTTTGGTACAAGCACTATATATAAGCACACACACACACAAACACACCAATGGTGATTGATATCAAAGGCATCAAAACAGGTCTTTCCCCAAAAAAAAGTCCTGAGTATCATATGTACTAACCGTAATGCTAACAAAATAATCCAAATAACAAAATCCTTAGAACTTCTGAAGATTATTTACGTATTGAAGTCAATTCCCTAATTATAACTTAGGTTCCTAACTTTAGAATCTTACATTTTCAGACATACAAGTGTTCAAAATATAGTTAATTCAACTCTAAACCCAGAACACTAGGTATCTACTTTACAATATCAACCTTTTTTCTTCCTATGGCTTATATGACATTTTTTTTCTGGAGCTATTTCAGTTCTTTTATTTGAGTGCATCCCAGAAGGCAGAGCTACAGCGCGGCAGAGAGGGAGGATCAATAAAGCAACAATAAAAGGCATCCTGAAAACAGACCTTCCTCCTTACTGTAACAGCAGAGTTATTCATGAAGAGAGGCATATAAAATATGTTTAGGACTGAGGGGGCAGGTGCTTTCAGAATAACATGATTCAGTAAATACAATTTTTGATGTAACCACAGTTATAAGAAACTTACTTGGCATAAGCTCATCCCACTAAGCCACGGTCATGTATCTTTCTTCCAGATCATGTCTTGAACTCTGTGCTCTGCATCCAGCACTGTCCAGGGCTCTGAGGAGGCCCTGAAGTCAGAGCAGTCTTCTTTTCCTAAGATCCTTTATTTAAGCAGCAAGCCTTGCAGGGGAGCTCTGCAGGAAGCTTTTGGCTCCTGCAGGTCATTAGCAATGTTCTGCTCATTCAGCTGTGCAGAATATTGCTACTTGTCCCTAAAAATGGGATGGGGAAAACCAGCTAGGTAAGGGCTACAAGCTATCTGCAGGAAAGAGAAAAAAACGTAATACTACAGCCTATGCTGAAACAGGAGAATTGTTTTGGCCTGACAGTACATGAGTTTTCTGCTTGACATGAAGCTAGTATCAGCATAGATCAGCCTGATCCCAGCAGCATAAGGGTCTCTCACTCTTCCTCTCTCTGTCTCCTGTCCTTCCTAACATGCTCTCCCAGGCAGCAGTGATGCCACTGGAGCTGGCTCGCCCTTCGCTGTGGTCATTAACTGCACCTAGAACAGCCTGGGTTCAGCTGTGACTCCCAGGCTGGGTGCTGGGAGGGGGAGGCAGCAGGAGTGCATGCTTCTTTCTATTCACTTTTTTGGTGCTCATAATAATTTCCTAGCCCCACCAATTCTTGAGGAAGCTTTACGCCTCGTTATTCATGTGCCCCATTTGCAAAGAATTCTTCTTGACAGCAGAGAGGAGGGGGAGAGCCAGAAGAAAGAAAAGAGGAGGGAATAGATCAGCAGTGGAACCTTTAAGAGAATGCTCTTCCACCGCCTCCCCTCCTAACCACGCACAGCTGGCACGGCAGCCGGGGAGCAGTCCCACAAGAACTTGCATCACAAGCCCAGGACACCCACGCTTTACTTGCTTATTTAGTTGCACATGCCATTTTGGAGGCTCTCCATCTCTGAAGAGGGCCCCAGCTGGTTTTAAAGCCGTGCTTTTGTTTGTAAAAATGTACTCGTGTTTTGTGCACAAAACTAAACCAAACCTCAAAATAACTCTAGTTATTCAGCCAAATTGTATTCACATTCGAGTGGTGAAAGTGGGCGTCAACATGATTGTGTGTGTGTGCATGCAACATGTATAGACATAGAGGGTTTCGTAGTTTCTTGTAAGCATATTTGCAAATGGAATATAAACAAAAATTCTTACTCATAAACATGGATCAGGGCACTGAATGTTTTCCTTGTGAAGTTTCAGTATTGCTCCTTATCTGGGAAACTTGCATAGTTTCTTCTTGCCAAAGTACAATATATCTTAGATTCATGAGACTGAATAATTATATTCTGGTACTTCATGAGCAGGGCCACTTGGCCAAGAGCAATCAGCTTGTTCAGATGTCTTAGGGAATCTTTATCTTTCGGTGGATCAAGCCTCAGTGTCTGCAGATCGCTGGTCCTATTGCAGGCTCATCATCTGGGAATCACAGCCCTTCACATTCTCACCCTCTCCTCTGTTGGCACAAACATCCAGCAAAAAACATGAGCTGTGCACTCTGTACTCCTCCTCTGCTTTAGAGACTTACTTGCGTAGTGTATTTATTAGGGATGATGTTTAAGTCCCATCAAAGTTGTTCTGGTAATAACACTTAGCTACAGTTAACAGAAATCAGATAATTGGACTTTCTTCCAAATATGCAGAAAAGCTGACATCTCACAGGACACGGGAATTAACAGAGACGTTGGCTGGGCAGAGGTAAAATTTCCACTTGTTTCAAGTGGTTCTGAGCACCTAAAACCCTTTTACAAATCACAGTCATGCTGTCTCATGCTCAAACTGGGTGCTTGTTGAATCTACTGATTACCTCACTCATGCAGTATGATTATTGCCCAGGCACAGTCACTGATGCTCATTTCCAGCCAGAACAAGAATAAACTTCATCCACTTTAGTTTTCTTTAATCTAAAAGACTAAGAGAATATAATATTCCACGAGAGCATTTTGTGTGTATATCTGTCCCCAAGAGCTACCACACTGAACTGGGCCCCACTGACTGTCTTTACAGACAAACTAGCTGACTACTACTACTCTTAGAGACTGCGATCATAAAAAATCACCCTATGCTTCTGCACCCACCTCTCTCTCCCGTGTTTCGGATGAAGTAGCTCCCCAGTGGCACAGCTGCCACACGAAGGGCTCAACCCCCTCGTTCCAACTCTTGCACTGCCAGCACCAGTCTTCATGCAGTCATGACGCAAAACTGCCCCAGGTGAAAACCACCTCTTGCTTTTTGCTGAATTAGTTTTAAGGTGGGTCACCCCTGCCTGGGGTGCAGGGTGGCTGCATGAATGCTGGAGCAAGGAGAGGGCAGTGCAGGCCAGGGAAGAGAAGCTGGAGGTGGGTGGATGACTTCTTCTGCAGCACTGCCAGCTTCCAGTGATGATGGAGCTGAGACACCGGTCCAGTAAGGATTAGTGATTCTGCTGTCTTCTGCCCTGCTTGCAGCAAACAGCAAATAAGTGATAAACAATACAAATGTGAAAAGTCAGGTTATGTAGCAGTAGTAATAAATATAGGTTTCCATGTGGATGATTAGGCTTTTATTAAGTTCTCTGGCAGTAAATCATCATGGGGAAGATATATTATAGCTTTCTGCAGATTCAAGAAGGTTATCTATTTTCTGCAAAGCCATTTTTATGCAAGCTTGAGTTAAAGATGGAAAAACAAACAACCTGGTAGTTACTGGGAGGTATGGGAGGGAAACACAGTTCCCAAGATCTCAGAAAAGGAGGCTGCTGTGAAAAGCCATCTGTTTACTGTGTCCTCAGCAGGACTGTACAGAAATGTCCCCTTTAGGCAGTGTAGTTATTAACAAATGTAAAGAAGCAGTAAGCGAGTGTTGGAACATGGTTTCAGTCTGTTTTTTTCCTTTTATGGTAAAGCTGCCAACTTGCTGCTTCATTGTGATAAACCATCTGATTTTGTTTGTGATTAAGCAGAGCTAGCTGGTCTATCAAGAACAGAGGGGCATATGATTCTTACAAGCAATCTGGAGGTGTTTGGTGAAAAAGCTAAGCAGATTCCAGAAAAAAAAAAGAGTCAACTGCATGTTTAGGAAAGCTGGTGGGGTTTAGAATGTAAGTGTAGACCTCTATATTAAAAATTGAGGAAAAAATTAGAAAATGTCTGAAACATCTAATATAGACATAGAGGGGGTGATAGTCTTCCAGGTAGTGTAAAATTTTTTAAAAAGGCATTAACCAAAAAGATATTGGAAGCTAGAAGACATATTTTCTTACTTTTTAAGCCCCAGGAATTATGTTTAAGGAGTTTTATTCGTGCAAGTATTCTCTTCTGATAGATCTACCCACATAAAGTTGCAGACTCCCAAAATAGGGCACAGTCCTTTCTATATAGAATAAAATATTCTGGAACAGAAATAGGAGCAATCAAATGGGAGAGCCCTTGAAAGTAAATGGCACCAGTACTTGCAGCTCAAGTCATAAAAGAATAGGATCAGATTTCCTGATATAATTCATCATTACCTTTGCAATTTGTTAGAACTGCTGAAGGAAATAGAGTAACATCTGGAATTCTCCCTCCACGAATGTGAACAGGACAGCTTGTCAGCATGAGGTTTCGCAGGACAGGCTGCACAGTTCAGCCACAGGGCTGAAAGCCTCGAGACTTCATATGGCTGCCAAGCACAAGGGAAGTTAGAAGGGGATACATCCACTGACCAAGAGAGAAGCTTGCAAGAATGCCATGGGGTTGTTCACCTACAGAGAACAGGCAAATTGCATAGGTCCAATCCTGGAAGCCCTTCAGACTACAAGAGAAAGCTGAAATCAAATAAATAATTTCAATTTTCCTTCCAAGAACCCCCAAACGCCCTCAAGCAAGTTGCTGTCAGTCAGAGTCACAAAGTGCTGCTTCACCAGAAGGCATCCTTGGAGAGCCAGCAACCACCCAGCAGTCCCTGTTTTCAGTTTGAGTCCTTCCAGGACCAAAAAGCCACCATTCCCTCCATTTCCATCTTATTCCCATTTAAGCAGGATTTGTTCCCTGTACTTGCATGAGGGGCTGGGCTGATCAAGTCCAAAGAAATTCAGTAACTCAGGCTTGGCTTGCACAGCCTGTTCTCTATCCCAGAGGGCACCTGGTGCAACTTCTGACCTTCCTAATCCTTCTTCTGCTCTTACATTTCAGCAAAGCTGCCCATATGCATGCACTCATGCAAATCCCTGTGGTGGGCCAGTTTATGAGATACCTTCAGAAGGGGTTTTTCACTTACTGGGCAGTAAAAGAAGGGCAGCAATAGGCAGCAAAGAGTAGTGAGAAAATACTTGGCTTGGAGAAGACCAACTTTTTCTAATGTTCCCTGAGCTCAGAAATTCCACTGGCAACTCTGTATCAAGGAGTCACTTTTATTTTCATTATGGTATTTATGGGTTTGTGATGCAATATCAATATATGCCCATAGTTTCTATTTACACAGCAGTGTATTTTTAGCAGAAATTCTACTGTGTTCTCACTTTTTTAACTTCAAAGAAAGCCTAGCTCATATCCTGCAGTGAAAAATAAACATGGCTCACAGCTCCTCTCCTCCCAAATGTTTATGTGGAAGAGTCCTGCTGTGCTGATTGCTGACAAATATCTCCAATAGAAATGTAATGAGTCATTTTGCACCAATTTACTGAATAAAGCAGTTAAGTGGCACCATTTGCTGTGTGAGTGATCAATAAAGCAGTTAATGTTATAGCTATTGAGGACCTGGGAGTAAAACAGTTGTTTAATATCAATCCAAGCCATAGCGGAATCCTCTGCTGCTTTTCCTAGACTGGCTGTGGTCCAGGCAGCAATTACAACTTGCAAGCTTAATAGGTCGAATTTATCTCCATTAGCTTTACACAGTACAGAAAGCTTGTTTATCTCATGGTATTTATTACATACAGGGTCGGCGACAGGGGCAAGCAATCAGATAGGTAGCCCTACAAGTCACCCCACACACTGAATAAAAGGAGGAAGGAGTTCATGTCTTAACCTCTGACCAGAGGCTCCACTGGGCTAATGCTAGCTCTGCATCTGATAAATAATGCCAAACCGTACAGAAACACTTGTTTCTGCCTTAATTATCTGCCTCAAGTCTCAGATTTGTAAAGTATGCACACTTTTCAAAAATGTATTTGACCTGCCTGAGAATTTATTTTCCTAGATCAGAAGATTTTTCTACAGTCTGTACAAGGCAGTCCGTGACAGCCTCACTCAAAGGGCCAACTTCAATGCCAGGGCAGGTTGCTCAGAGCCTTGTTCAAGTCTACTTCCAAACAGCTCCAAGGATGGAGAACCACCCCTCTCTGGGCAACCTGTCCCAATGCTTGACCATTCCCACAGTGAAAAAAATTGTTCTACTTCAGAACTGATCACAGCAAACATGCTAGTCATGCATCTTTACATAGAGGGCAAATTGTAAAGACTCCCATTATCACAGACTTTTCTGCAAGTCTTGGTTCAATGGAGCATTACAACATAGTTTAGCATTGTGGAGCACATTATGAAACCTCAGTGGGTGTTCATTGTCCATCACAGCCTGAGATCAGCGACGTAAAAAATTCTGTGTAAAAGTTCTGAAGGTAAAGAGAAACTCCGACTCCAAAAGCATAAGCAGGGGGGAATCCTGCAGGAGCAGGTTATGGAGCTAGGATGTAATCCTAAACCTTGCTGCAGCATTGTTTAGGATAACACTGCAGTCCAGTGTACTGGACTCTGCTGCGCAGAAACCTCTTACGTGCCTCACATAGTGGAAATGGAGACTTTGGTCCACCTTTTTATAAAGTTTGATCCACAATGCATTTCATGGTCCTGTTCATAGTAAAAAGCATGAAGAATACTTATGTACTTGTTGACATGCTCTTGTAAAATACGTGAAGTATCTTGTTTTATCTTACTCTTCGGAGGATATCTCAGAGAAATTACTTGTCCTCTTGATAAAAGTTGTCTCTTGGTCTGAAATGAAATAGAGACTACATTATTCAGGTATTTGAACTGCTCTGCTTTCAAAATTTAAAACTTTGCATGACGAGCTTAAAACATTTTAGTTTTTGATGCCTTATCTGTCCAGACTTTGTCTCAAGTAGGCTGCTAGTCATACTTCATAAGCATAGTAAAAACTTGAGTTTCAGGTTTGAAATTTGCAATTATAATCTTCTTATAGAGAGCCTGATCTTTCTGCTGTCCTCATTACAGTTCATCTCTAATGGAATTTACAAAAAATATTTTTGAACTCTTAACCTTTTGTTCATTTTTTGTACAAAATATTTCCATTAGAGATGCTTATTTAAATGGAAGGGCAAATTAAATAAGATGTGTACCCAGTACTTTTGACTAATCATGGATTGCCAGGTTTTGGAAGGTCTAGGCTGTTCAATGTAAATCCTTATAAATGTAAGTGCTTTTGTCAGGACATAGCCATTTTCCCTAATTAATTTTCTCTTTATTCACAGATCGAGAAGACCAGTCTATCCTGTGCACGTAAGTAAACTAATCTATTTTAGTATCTCTCAATATTACAATGTCTTTCTTTATTCAAAACTGATTCAAATTCTGATGGAACTGACATATTCTCCTCACCTTCAGTAAGCTTGAACTCCTGTCCCAGTAGATTTTCCTGTTGATAAAATAAAAAGCAGTTACCAGTGCTGTAGGAAGTCTTTAATGCACAAACTTATTTCTTTAAATTGACTTCCTGAATTCAGAGATTTAAGAGGTTACAATGAACAGTTGGGGAGTGTGGTTGTAAAACTGTAGGTGTAGAAAGAACAAGGGATTTTAAGAGCTGCTTAGAGGAAGCTGAGGAACTGAGAAAAGTGAGGAACACAGAGCATCCCGGATATTTTCTGAACTGCTTTTCATTTTAGCTGTTGGTAACTCACCGTAACTTCCTAATTCTGTTGCCATTGTAGAAAAGTGCTGTTGTTTTGTGCTGTTTGCATATACTGTAGCTAGAACGGGGAAGGTTTGGTACCTCCCTGCTGGCAGTGGCCACCCCCGGAGCCTGTGCGCGAGGCAGGGCTGTGTTGGCCAAGAGGGCTTAGCAGCACCACGCGGGTTGGACCTTTCTGCAGTCTCTATGTAATCGGTTTAGGCAACAGTGAAATACCAGCTAAGACAGCCCTGTTCTGAACTCTCTGATTTTTCTGCGACCTGGCTTGCTGAAGGCCTCCTCCTTGAGTTCTGACCTGCCAGTGTTCAGATAGCACCAGCATGGAGGGTTCAGCCGTTGCATCATGGGTCAGGCAGTGATTTCATTGCCATAAGCTTCGTTGCACACAACTTACTACTCCACAAACTGAACTGGTTTTATGTTATCTGTCAAAATGTGACTGACTGAATATATATTTATACTACAGTTTTTAAAAAGCACTGCTACTGATCATCAGCCATACAGTTACTTGTGAGTGCCACCGCTGACTGGAAAACAATCATCACCTAAGAAAAAGTAAAAATTATATACTATATCTGGTACTATAAGGGCTAGCATAGCTTTGACCTCTGTTGTAACAAGATTTCATTACATGCAAATATATCAATCAAGAATCTCTCCAAAAATGCATTAATACCAAGAAGAAATCTAAAATTGATGCAATGATGACATAAACATTGACCATCACTTTCTTCCCAGGATGAAACATGGTAATGAAGACTAATTTACGATATGCATTTCCTCCTTCTATTCCTGTACTTTAGTTTATTTTTCCATTAGTAAATCTTCAGATCTTCTTTTAACTTTGGAATATTAGAATTTTTAAGAAAGGGGCTTTCTTTTGCAAATCTATGCCTTTTTGTTCATGAAAATCCATGAAAGGATCCACTTCTGACAGCTACCGTGTATATAT